ACACAATGATGATGACGATGATGATGATGATAATAAAGTCTATCACAGAGTAACATTTACTGTAAATGGTGCTTTAAGGTTTAGAAAATATTTTATAAGTATCATCTCATTTGATCCTTATGACAACCCTGGGAGTTAGGTGCTATTATTAACCACATTTTACAGAAGAGGAAACTGAGGCAGACAGAGGTAAAAGTGATTTACCCAGGGTTACACAGCTAGTAGGGGAACCTAGGTGGTTTGGTGAATAGAGCACCAGTTCTGGAGTCATGAAGACTCATCTTCCTGAGTTCAAATCTGGCCTCAGACATTTACTAGCTGTGTGACCCTGGGCAAGTCACTTAACCTTGTTTACCTCAGTTTCATCATCTGTAAAATAAGCTGGAGAAGGAAATGGCAAACCACTCCGGTATCTTTGCCAAGAAAACCCCAAATGGGGGTCACAAAGAGTTGGACATGATTGAAAAACAACTAAAAAGGAAAAAGGAACCTAGCTAGTAGGTGTCTAAGGTGGGATTCATACTCAGGTCTTCCTGACTCCAGGTCCAGTGCTATATTCACTATGCCGCAACTATTTTTCAGATAGGAAGAATGATATTGGGTCAGACCTATGACATAGCAGAGGCCCCAGAGGGCATGCCTGGCATGTAAGGGAGCCCAGTTGTCCTTCTTGAAATCAGTCTTTGAGGTCAGGTATTAGATATAGCCCAGCTTCTCTTATTAGCTGTTTCTAGCTCTTCTACTCACACATTTTTCCCAATACTTCTTGAAAAGAGTTATTCTTTTTGACTGTACCACCTCTTAGGAGTAATGAGATCTACCAGTGTATTACGGGCTGCAGAGAGTAGTGTTTTGAGGGTACTTGATCCTTCTTAAGGAAGATGTCATAGCACTATGGAAAGAGCACTTGATTGCAGCTCAAGGATCACTTCCGGAGGAGGCAGGTGTGAGTAAAGAAAAGAGGAAGAACGCAAGATGTTGTGGCGGTAAACTCAACAAGCCTTGGTGAGTGATTGAATGAGGGCAGTGAAGGAGAGTGAAGAATGGATTACGACATCTTGCAAACCTTGGTGAGTGGAAGGATGGTGGTGCTACCAACAGGAAAAGGCATATTAGGAGGAGGGATGATTGGAGGGGAAGAGATGGAGAGTTCTGTTCCGGACTTTTTGAGTTTGAGATGCTTATGCAACACACGGGTGGAGACCCACATCAGACAGTTAGTGATACAGGGCTGGGGCCCAGGAGGAGATGAGGGATGGACTGTCAGCATTGTACTAAGAGCACTTACCATATGCTCCCTTGTCTTGTTGTTTAGCTCATGTGTAAGCCCTGTCCCCACGAGTGAACTCTAAATTTTTTGAGGGTGGGGACTATATTTTATCTCTGTGTATCTTCAATTCCTAGCACTGGGCCTTGTACAAAGTAGGGCACTTACGTTTGTTGATAATTCATTGAATTGGTTCTTTAACCACGAGCAATACCAATGTGCTTAAATTTATATCAAGGTTAACTATTCAGAGTTTCTTACTGGAGCACATTTGAAAAATATGATGTGATCCATATGGATTTTTTTTCTGTTCAGTTATGGTGACATACAATTCTTTCCAACTTTTTAGGTAAATGGTTTTATGAAAATGAACTAACAAATAATAATATCTGATCTACAGGACAAGGATGAAAACAGAGCCTTGGGGAAATCTGGCCATAGCTAACATGTTATTTTGTTTGACTATAGTTATTTGTTACAAAGGAGGGTTCATTTGGGGTGGGGAGTGTAAAAGGGTATAGATTTCACAAACTCTGAGGAGTTTCAGCCCAACTCACACTTACACTGGTGAGCTACTTGCTCCCCCAGGGCAAGGCTACATCTCTCTCTTAAGATTCTAAGGGCACCCCTCAGGAGGTACCCTCCTTCCTGATATTTTAAACGCATGTTTAGGAAGGGTGCCATTCACACAAAATCACACTTCTAACATTTTCCCCAATCATGCTTAATTTTTTCTATTCTTTAAAAATCAAGTGACAAATGACAAAACTATGAGTGCGCAAAAATGATCAATAAGTATCCACTTTGTGTGAGGCACTGTAATCAGCACTGGGAGCCCCAAAACAAAAGAATCTCTGCCCCCAAAAAGCTTACCTTCTACTGGGCAGATATAATATGTACACAAATAGGTATACTACCAGGTGTCCCAAAAGTTCTAGGGCAGTTTTGTTTTAGTAGCTTAAATCTGTACTAAGACCTTTGGGACACCCTGTTTAAGGAATATTGAAGAAGTACTGGGTGAGGAAGAGGCTACATCAGCGAAGGTGCTATAGAGGAAAGACCACCTGGATTCAGCCTGGCAGGAAGGCAAGGATTCTGAGGTGTGGAAATGAGGGCAGGATTCATTCAAGGAATAAGGGGAAGGGGGCAGGGCATTGTGAATTGCATAGACCCGGGAGACATAGTATTGGTTTCTTCAAGGTACAGCTAGTAGTCCATTTTAGCTGGAACTTATAATTTCTGAAGGGGAGTAGTATGAAACAAAGCTGGAAAGGCAAGTGGGAGTCAGATTGCAGAGGGCTTAAATGCTGAGCTAAGGGGTTTGAATAACTGATCTGTCAGTCAGCATTTTTTAAATGTCCATGGTGTATCCTGAACGGCTCCTTACTCAGTCTCTGCAGATAAATCGGTATTGGGCTTCCGCTCAATTCAATGGTATTTCCAAAGCATATATTACATGGGGACATGAGCAAAGCACAGAAATCACAGAACCTCAGAATTAGAAGAGGCCACACTGAGGACCTCCAGAGAGGGGAAATTCGCCACCTCCAGAGGCCCCTCATCCACTGGTGGATGGATCTAATTGTTACAATTTTTCTCCCCAAAATCAAGCCTCAATTTGCATCTTTGCAGCTCTGCCCCATTGCTTTCCCTTCTGCCCTCTGGGGCCAAAGAGAAGAAATAGAATTCTTGTTCCACATGACAGTCTTCCAGACATTTCAAAATAGATACCACGTCTCCCCTGAGTCTTCTGTTCTCTAGTTGCTTCACCCACTTCTCATCTGGCATGAGCTGGAGCTCCTTCCCCAGTCAGGCTCCAACCAATGTTTTTAGTGGATTTCACATTATTCGTCCTCACCCACTACTTTCCAGTCAAATTTGCCTACATCTTTTGACTGTGCTTTTGCTGGGCCTGCACAGGCTGTCCCCCATGCCTGCAATGCTTTCTTTCCTCACTACTGCCTCTTAGCAACACTAGTACCCTATAAGGCTAAGCTCAAGGGCCATCTCCTCCAGGAAGCCTCACCTGACTCTCCAGGTACTAGTACTCAGACCTGCTGAAAATAAGTCTTAGCTGAACACATGTTCTGTTCCCCCTGCTGCCCCCTGTTGGTTGTAAAGAGTTTTAGGGCAGGGAACCTAATTTTTGTCTTTGAATCCCCAGCACCTTGTAAAGTGCCTGGCACACACACACACAAACACACACATATGCATATATGTTATATATACAATATGCAATATATATATATATATATATATATATATATACATGTTTTAATTGAATGGAGAAGCAGCACCGTTAATGATGAAAAAGCTGAGCTGCCTAGATGTTTCAGAATTCTCAACCACGTAAAGTATAAATTGCCTTCTACCTGGCATGTCAACCTAAATATAGGAACTCTTATTCTTCTGTTTGCAATTTATTAATTAGAGGCAAAGAGAGATTGTCTCAAGCCCTTCACTATTTGCTGGGGAGATTTGTAATTTAAGATTCTGTCCTTGCAGGCTCTGTTTCAGATCTGTCTGTGATTCACAGACAGATAGTTTAGCTGAATAAATCACTGTAAATCCAAAACCTTGTGGAAATTCAGAGATAGTTCATTTGGGGGATCTTCCCCAGTCCCTACCCTGAAGACAAAGGAATTTCCACTTACAAATGGCTGGTGAGATTTAGGCTGGGGCCAAGGAAAATATAAGTATTTTGAGAGTCCATTGAAAAGAAAAAAAAAGAAAAAAGAACCAATCTCAGGCCAAGATGAATAAGAACTCTCTAAACAAATGTCAGGGAAGGTAGGTGGTACAGTGGATAGAGTTCCAGGCCTGGAGTCTGGAAGTCTCCTCTTTCTGAGTTCAAATCTGGCCTCAGACACTAGCTGTGTGACCCTGGGCAAGTCACTTACTGCTGTTTGTCTCAGTTTCCTCCTCTGTAAAATGAGCTGGAGAAGGAAATGGGAAACCACCCCAGTATCTCTGCCAAGAAAACCCCACATGGAGTCACAAAGAATTGAACATGGACTGAAATAACTGAACCACAAAGAAATGTCAGGGGACAAGTAGAGAGACAGTCAAATGAGTGGCCAGTCCTGAGGGACTGAGACCTGGGAACAGTGGAAAAGCTACCAGACCTGTAGTCAGAAAGGACAAACAATGGAATCCTCACTTTGCTATTTTCTCCTTGTTTGACTGCGATGAAGTCACTGAGGCCCTGGTTTTCTAATTTGTAAAATGTGGTCACTAGGCTACCTCATCTCTGAAGTCCTTTCTATTTCCAAATCCATGATTCTGCTTCTTGGTTTCAAAAAACAAAAGCAAATCTATCGAATTAAATGCGTTTGTCTTTTCACTGGTGTAGCTGAGACAGAGCTGTGTTTGCTGCTAATGTCCAATGAAGGAAGGATCCCAGCTTTGGATGGTTTCAGATTTACGGGGGAGGGACAGTAAGTCACCTACTCCCACTCCCTCATTTTGGAGGTGAGGGAATAGAGACGTAGAGATGTAGTGACTTGTCCAAGCTTGTCCAGGTGAAAGGGTCACCTTGAATTCACAGCTCCCCTTCTAGAGTAAGGCCTTTCTCCGCTGCAATCTTACCGATGGATTTGGAGCCAGGACTTTTCATCGTGGAACAGAGAGAGAAGAGACTGAGGTGATCACCTTTTCTTTGTCATTAAAATTGACAATCAGCCATCTGCAAAGCTGGACCCTGCCCTACAGATGTCCCCTTCATCTTACTTACTCATTGCTTCTATCTGCACGTGAATGAGATTCTCGATGTCTTCTTGTAGTGTCTGGTGTGGCTTCAGTGGAATGGGGAGATAGCCATAGTGTTCTCGGTTGCAGAGATACATCTGAATACCTGACAATCAAAGAACAAAAAACACTGATCAGAAAACACGCTTTTTTGGAGGGGTTCTACACAGGCAGTTGGAGGAGGTACAGGTTCAATGAGGGAAAAAAGGTGATTGTCAGCAAGCGTGGTTTGTCCTTAAAGCTTAGCAACAGATAGTTTACAAACTAAACAAAATAAAAACTCACATCAGCATTATACGTAATTGCAAAACCCAGGAAGCTGCCTAAAAAGTTGAACAATAGGAGAATGCTTTAAAAAACTATGGTATATTAATGTAATGAAATATCATCATGTCATTAATACCAACAGGTATAAGGAATGTAAAGAAATTTACAAAGACCTGTAGTAGGAAATAATGCAATGTGGAGGAAAAATTCAGAATAAGAATAGAGTGTGGGATAACTATGACCATACAAATAGGAAAAGTGAGAGACAATAAATACCCAAAGAATCTTGATGGGTACTGGTAGGGAGCAGTTGAAAAGTTGTTATGATACTTTATTAACTCAAATTAATTTAAATGACTAAAGAAGTTCAGATGGTTGTACTGATATTCAAGATTATGTTCTAAATAACGTGTTTAAAAGCTTGCCACCTGTTGAGAACAAAATACCAGGTAGCTGTATGCACCATTTTTAGCCTTCAGAGACATCAGACTTCCCCTTTATTTAAAATGACACTGGCCATTTGGAAGCTCACAGATCTCAGATCATTTCTCTTCTAGCTCAGACAGAGGAAATTGAACATTTTTTCTCTGAAAGAAAAAAATCCTCTGTTGGCCTAAAGTACAATGAAAAATAAAGGTAAGGAAAGAATCAAAAGGAAGGGAAGGGATTATGGTTCCCAAGAGCAGAAATGAACACTAAACCAATTGAAAGGAAATAAGGAAAAAATTAGGGATGAAATCCTTATTTGATATGAAAGCAGACAGAAAAGACCCAAAAGAGTAGTGAGGTTATGAAAGACAAATGTAAGCATTGCCAAGAGAGGAAAAGGGAGCAATTTAGTTCTCTGATTAAATGGGAAGGGTAAAGGGAATTTTAAAATGCTCTGACTTTCCTGGGTCATATTTTCGTCTCTTGACAACGATGAGTTTGAAGCCAACCTCATGTCGACGTAAACATTTCATGTTAGCTTCCAAGGGTAGGAAGAGAAATCCTGTCTCTTTAGTCCAACTGACAACCAGCAAGATGTCAGTCTCCCAAACATACCACAGAGCCCTCTGTAATCAACAAGTTCTTTCCCCTACCCCTCTCGTGAAGTAAGCTCTGGGGCCATCCACGTGAGAGCGGACAGTTTTGAAGACAGGATGGAAGCAGGAATCACCAACACTGCCAACCCTTGCCAGGTCCCATTTTAATGAAAAAATAGTTTAGTGAAAAGGACGTGTCAGCTAAGTATGAGTATGCGTGGCCAAACCTATGATTTTTTAATTGATATAATACAAGAATTATCTACCTAGTCAGAGCCTTTATTTGACCTGGATGAAATTTCCTCTAGTCAGCTGCACCGCCTGCCAAATCTCGTGAAGTTGTTAGGTGGCATTAACAGATAGGAGGGAGGGTGGAGGGGAGAAAAAAGACTTTTATTTACCTCCCTTAATGGGTCCGGACCCTGTTTTAATGAACCAATTTGACCTGGCTCACAAATCACTGTCAACTTCCCTTTCTTGCCAAGAAAGTTTCCAACTCTCTGACTCTGGGCTTTGCAGGGACAGATGCTTCCAGGGGATTCAGATGGGAATCTAACTCTTCAAAACCCTCATGACATGAAGAAGGGGATGGAGACATAATTAAGTTGTTACCCTGCCTCTCTTGGATAAATCGCTTTAACCATCTGACCTCCCTTTGCTTTATTTTCCACATCTGGGAATATAGTATTAGAAGGAGATAATAATTGTGAAGCACTCTAATACTCTGAGTAATTAGAATGTAAGTTCCTTGAAGACAGGGACAGTCTTTTGCCTCGTTGTATCCCCGGTTCTTAGCACAGTGCCTGGCACATAGTAGGTGCTTAATAAATGTTTATGGATTAATCAGTTGATTAAATGATGCTTTACATTTTTTTTTTATTTTGAAAAAAAGGCAAATGATACCATGTCTTAATGGGTGTCTCTCTTCTAGTTAGCTTAACTCTTTTACTTATATCTTTTTATATAAGGGGATTGATCAGAATAGTCACTGATCAAATTGAGTCCTGCAATCAATGATGAGATTACAGGCCATGGGCAATTATGCATTACTTCCCCATAGAATGTGAGCATGCTCATTGACTCCATATTGATTTGGCTTCAGAAAAACCCAATTGGTTGGTGTTCTATTGACTGCTGACCCTCATCCCCTATGGTCTCTCTCTTGCCCTTAGACTAGAGAGGGGACCTTCAACCAGAGGTTTGGGAGCTGAGAGGAAGAGCACAGTAGTTTCTTTTTTTCTCAACTCCACACTGAGAGCAATAATAACAACTTATAACGAAAGCACATGGTAGTGATAGACATGCTGGTAGGTGGTGCAGTAGATAGAGCGTTGCACCTGGTATCACAAAAACCTGAGTTCAAATCCAGCCTCAGACACTTATTAACTGTGGGACCTTGGGCATAACCTCTGTGCCTCAGTTTCCCCTTATTAATGAGGATAATGACAGCACCTATCTCACAGGGCTGTTATGAAATAAAATGGGATAATAATTGTAAAGCACTTTATAAACCTTAAAATGTTATATAAATGCCAGCTATTATTGGGATGATGATTATGATGATGATGCATGCTTTTACATGACCTGAGAAAGGAGTTCAAGGACATGATTTCTAAATCCTAACCTCCCGTGTAGAGGAGGGGGATTTTAAATTCCCAGAGTAGTGCGAGCCCCCAAACTGAAGCTTCTAGTCACATAAAGGAGATTTTTCTTTGGGAGTTACCTTATGAATAATTCCAAGTTCAGGAATTACTGAGTTTGTAAATTTGGGCACTAGACTTTCTAGAGATACAATATTTCCTGATTCGGTGTGTTCTTTGGAGAAATAAGAGAATAATTCACATTGTTCCTGAAGAGCACCCTACTTGGAAAACAAAACCTTTGAGTTCTATGAATGGTGTGCTCAATGAGGTTTGCTGATTCAGCAAGCTGCCGACTGATTTAGTTTTAAAATGCAATATAATCTATGTTTTATTGTATTTTTATTTATTTTGTTAAATATTTTCCATTACATTTTAAGCTTCATTTGACACCTCTTCTCTACACTCATTAGGTAATTATTAACATTTCTTGAATTCTATTGAAACAAATTGATTTTGCAATCCTCCCACAGAGGCAGTGTCCAAACCTGGTTACACACACACACACAAACACCCCATACCTGCTTGCCTACAGGAGAAGGCAAAGACAATGATGTCATCAAAAGTCCAGGAATAATCCTGGTGTGGGGGAAAAAACATCAGCTTGTATGAGGCCTCTTTCCTGAGGTCAATGAGGAATGTGGAGTGGACCATTGGAACAGGAAAACAGCCTCTTCTCTTCCATTCTCTAATCTGAAGGTAGTCTGGGGTCCGTTTATAGTAGCCCTGTAAAACAACAAATTGACGGGTTGAATTCTTTGATAGGTAGATTAGATTTTTTCATTGTTATTCTCTAGTCTGAAGGCATAGTGGACCAAGTTGAGAGGATCTGAGTTCTAATCCTATCTCAGATAAAAGCTCTGTGACTTAGTGAAAGTCAAGTATCCTCTCTTGACCTCAGTTTTTTCATTCATAAAAATGCAGAAAACACCTGGAAGTGTTTAATTCATATGGTGATCATGGGGAGGGAAAATTGGAACATGCATTCTTTAAGCACCTAGTATGTGCCTGGCACTGTGCTTTACAAATATTCCTATTTTAGCCTCACAACAACACTAGAAGGTTGGTACTATTACTATTTCCATTTTGCACATGAGGAAACTGAGACAGAAAGAAATTAAGTCACTTGCCCAAGGTCAAACAGCTAGTAAGGCAGGATTTGAACTCTGGTGGGTCTAATTCCAGGCTCTGGGGCCCTCTTCATGGCACCCCCTAGCTACCAAGTGAGAAAATAAATACAAAGAGCTTTGTAAATGTTAAGAGTATTTTATAAAACTCAATTATTATTTTCCATTTTATCAGTAACAATTTGATGGTTATATAAAATAGCATAGATGCACTTTTCCGCATGATCTGTTTCAGGTCAGTCTTTCTCATTGTTTATTGGGTTCACTCAAAGACTGGTAGGGAGGGTATAAAGAGCGCTATCTACATGAGGCGGCTACATGGATGACAATGGGAGGCTTGGAATCAGGACAATCTGAGTCTGAAACCAGCCTCAGACACTAAATGCTGGATTTGTAGTCAGAAGGAACCCTGACTTCTCTGTGTAACACCTCAGTGACCTTAGGCAAGTAGCTTAACTTCACTGACCCTCAGTTTCCTCATCTGTAAAGTGTGGGGGTTGGACAAAACAATTTCCAAGGTTTTTCCACCTCTGAATTTATGGTCTCATTAAGTAGAAGAGCCAGAATCTGAACCCAAGTCCACTGACTCCATTTACTGCATCACACTTCTTTCTCTCCAAATTACCTATATCTTATTGAGATTTTAGACCACAAGTAGGAATGACTAAAGTTTAAGCATGGTCTCTTCATTCAATAAAGGCTTTATGCCAGTGAGGTCAAACACAAACAGAAAACCCCGTGGACCGCACATTGACTTAGAAAACCACATATTAACACGATCTGTGTTCTACTGTATTTTTATTTATTTTGTCAAACATTTCCCAATGATATTTTAATCTGGTTGGGGCAGTACTTGGGGGCTTTGCAGCCAGCAAGTTTGACCTCTGCTTTATGCAAAAGGAATGTGATAAGAGGGGGCATGGAATATAATCTCTGAGAGGTGATGGTAAAGTAATGAAATGGCATTGTTTGTTCATTTTTAAACAAATATCAGAATTTACACATTCAATGCAATGTGTTCATTTGATGCTGTCACCCTGGGAGGCCAAATCCACTCAGGCTCCGACTGTACTCCCAACATTTTGGAGGGTTCCTTCCTAGCTGGCTTATGGGCCATACAGGACAGACCACTACTGGTCTCATTGCTTTATAGTCATAACTCCTTTTCTCTTTTCTTTTCTTTAAATCTGAAACAGTATTACCCAGATTGATAACTCTTTTATTCATAAGACAATTCCCAAATGACCCATGGCATTTTCCCAAGATCAAAAATTTGCCAGCAGTATTAATGGGAAAAACCTTAAGCTTTGAGTCAGGAGAGATTTGGGTTCAAATCTCACCTCTGATTCTTATTAGCTGTGTGACCCTGGGCAAATCACTTCAAGACATTCCCTAAGCCTCAGTTTCCTCATCTGAAAAATGAGAGTAAATTCCTATAGTACCCACCTCACTGGGTTGTTGCAAGGATGAAATGAGATAATAATAATAGCTGGTATTTCTATAACAATTTATAGTTAACAAAGAGCTTTACATGTTTGCTCAAGTGATCCTTACAACAATCTTAATACGCTGTTATTGCTGTTCAGCCGTTCAATTATATCTGACTCTTTGTGACCCTGTATGGAGTTCTCTTGGCAAAAATACTGCATTGGTTTGCCATTTCCTTCTCCAGTAGGTTAACCAGCGCTCCATCCACTGAGTCATCTAGCTGCATAGATACTCTTATTATCCCCATTTCACAAATGAGAAAACTGAGGCTGAGGCAAAACAACTCGTCCAGGGCCCACATACCTAATAAATAACAGAGACAGGATTTGAACTCAGTTCTTTTAGAATCCAAGTCCAGCACTCTATCCACTGCACCATCTGGTTGTTTTGACTGTAACTTTGTAGCACTTTGCAAATCTTGAAACACTATTTAGACGCCAGTTACTATTAATTAAAAGAATGTGATGGAGGTTCTCAGAACACTGTCCTCCAAAGGAGGTACCAATGATGATTGGAGCAATGGTAGTTCCACAGCTTATTTTTGGAATAAGTGTGCAGTCGCACAAGGTGAACACTTTGAAAGGTTCAGCATCCATCTCTATGTGGAAATTCTGATGTGTACAGTTCTTTGCAGTCACATGAAGTATTATGTGACAAGCTCTTGGAAGACTGAGACTGTGTCATGTACTCCTCATGGATCCTTTTTGGGGTCTGGCACAACAGACAGTGGCTAAATAAATTCTTTCACCTGTAAGCATTTCATACTCTATTCCAATAGGATCCTTAGATAACACAGTTGTAGTCAAATTTGTATTACATTTACCCACGTATCTGTCTTTTGTCCCCTTACTATAGTGTCAACTCCATGAGAGCAGGGCTTGGTTTTTAAAATTTTTATTTTTGCATCTCTTCTCCCCACTTCTCCCATTTAACACAAAAGCCTATACATAGTAGATGATTAAAAAGTGATTATTGAATGAATGGAGAGATGCAAGAATGAATAATTGTATAAACACTATGCTTTACATAAGCTTTTCATTTTAGAATCTCTTAGCACCTCTATGAAACTTAATCAAATTACTCAGTTATTCTCTAACATTTCCAGTGCCAAGTATTGCCTAAATTGAATAGACTGAGTCAGCAAATGCATACATACATATTCACACACATGCACAGCAACACTTCCACACACATACATATATAAATATAAATTTTAGTATACATCCATAAGCAGCTAAGTGGCACGGTGGATAGAGTACTGGATCTGGAGTGAGGAAGATCTGAGTGCAAATGTGATCTGACACTTCCTAGCTGTGTGACCCTGGGTAAGTCACTTAAGAACACAAGGTGGTATAGCGGATAGAGGAAATCTCATCTTTCTGAGTTCAAATCCAGCCTCAGATACTTACTAGCTGTGTGACTCTGGGCAAGTCACTTAACCCTGTTGACCTCAGTTTCCTCATCTGTAAAATGACAAACCACTCTAGTATCTTTGCCAAGAAAATCCCAAATGAGGTCACAAAGAGTCAGAAACAATTGGAACATATATAATATACATGTATACATATATATGTATACACACACACACACACCATATGTGACTTGTGGTATATTTGTGGGCTAAGATGCTCCAAGATGATTCTAAGTCATCAGATATAGTTACTGACAAATCCAAAACTCTGATGAGAATTATTTTAGAAATGGGGAACTGAGTACCTTTACAGTAAAACTATGCCTTCTGTAGACAAGAGGAGGGCTAATGAGACATTTCTCCGCTTGCTCCCCCTCCCATTTTCCGTATAAATAAGGCACTGTTAGTGAGTGTTCCCATTAGTCAGCCAAAGGCTTCTGGAATAATTTTTGGATGAGCAAAAGCTTGGTTGGGAGAGCTCTGGCCATGTGAGTCTCTCCACGATGACACTCAGCCATCAGACCAGTTCCTCCCAGCAAGACCAGGACCAGGAGTGGCATGAAGCCAAAAGGTGAAAGGCAAGAGTCAACAAAAAACCAAAAAAAATGTTTTATGTTTACTTACGCTGTATTAGTTAATTGGGGCACGACACACTCTTTAATGAATGAATAAAGCAAATACAAAAAATAGAAGAAAAACTAGAAGCTGGGATATACCACTCTTAGGGCATGGGCTTACAGAGCCACAGTCAAAACAAAATTCTTTTTCAATATTCTCAGTGTTATTTTGCCACCTTTCCTATTTTAGGGTGGTTGATTTTTTTTTAGTTGAGAACTTTCAAAAATTTTTCCAGGTTAAAATAACAGAGCTTATTTTTCCAAGGAGCTAAAAGGTTTTTTTTTTAAATAAATATTAACTCGCTGGTAATTACTACACCCCTACTAAGATGTGTAGATGATAACTTGGAGAAGGAAATGTTACTTCAGAAGTGGGAAAAATCAGGCACAAAAAGTTAATTCCTTTTCTCTGCTCAAAATTCAAGTCACTGGTAAGACATGGATTAAGAATTCAGCCCTTTAGTTCTGCATTCTGGAAAGCCATTTGTTAACTTTTTAAAAAATAATTCTTTTTGGCCCTTGGGTCATCTTAGTCCATAAACATACCACAAAGTCACTTTAATTTTTCTTCCTAATACACGAATAAAATGCTAAAATGCCAGCTATCAATGTGCATTAAACTGAGGGAATTCCAAGCTTAGGGTATCCAAGCTGGGCTGGTACATAGGGAAGCTGGCAATCTGAAATGTTGCATGGGCTATTTAAAAGATCGCTAGATCTAAAATGAGAAAACCTGGCTTCAGATCCCAGCTCTGATGCTTAACTATCTGTGAGACATTGTAAAAACTACTTGACTTTCATTTTCTCTTCTGTATGATGACAGTGCTGAACTGGCTGCCTTCTGAAATCTTCCAGTCTACATATCATAATAGTTAACATTTATATGGCACTTACTATGTGCCAGGCACTGCACTAAGCATTTCATAACTATTATCTCCTTTGATCCTCACAACAACCCTGGGAGCTAGGTGTTATTATTATCATCCCTATTATGCAGATGGAAAAACTGAGGCAAACAGAGGTTAAGTGACTTGCCTAGGGTCACAGAACCAGTAAGTGTCTGAAGCCAGAGGTTTCCCTTTTCAGGCCCAGTGCTCTATCCATTGTGTTACCTAGCTGCCCTTAATAGCTAGCATTTATATAGTACCTACTGCGTGCCAGACACTCTGCTAAGTGCTTTACAAATATTCTCTCAAATTTATTCTGGTATGTGCTATTATTATCCTCATGTTACACTCAAGGGCCCAACTCAGGCCTTCCTAACTCCAAACCCAGCCCTCTATCCACCAAGGTCCCTAGAATCTATAATTTTATAATAGTTTGTACCCCACCCCCTTTTTCTGATCAATGGAAAAAACAATCGGAATTTTACAAAAGCAAATCCCCAAATCCTACTATACTCTCCTTTAGTGTTCCTTTGAACTTCACAATATATGCTAATCTCTTTAAAACTCATCATTCCCAAATAAATTACAGGATGTCCCAAAAGTCTTAGGGCAGTCTTAAACTATTAAAGCATAAACCTGCTCTAAGGCTCTTGGCACATCCCATGTTGGATGCTCCCTGAATATATGGTAGACAAGGTAGAGAGCCAAGTTCCCAGAAGCAAAGAACCTTAGTATGAGAAAGGACTTGAGTTCCATAGGGATAATAGATTTACAAGCTGGAAAGAGCCTCAGAGTTCATTTTCAGCAGGGTGCCAAGGAAAGAATGTTGCATCTGGAGTCAGAAGACCTAGGTTCAAATTCCAGTACTGCTACTTACTACTGTGGGGGTTTTTTCCTACTAAATATGACTAAGTTTATTTTTCATCTTTATTTAAAGGTGTTATATAACTTCTCTTATCCTCACTTTCTTCATCTGAAAAATTAGGATTGGGCCAGATGATCTTTAAAGCTCTTTCCATGGGGCATTGGATAGAGCACTGGCCCTGGAGTCAGAAGGACCTGAGTTCAAATCCAGACTCAGACACTTAACACTTACTAGCTGTGTGACCCTGGGCAAGTCACTTAACCCTAATTGCCTCAAAAAAAAAGTTCTTTCCAGCTCTAAATCCAGGAATCTATTGCCTTTTCCAATCTCCTCAAATTTCAAATGAGGAAACTGAGGTTCAGAGAAGCAAAATTAACTAGAAAGTCATCAATTTTAACCTCGCACTCAAAGCAGGAATCCCCTCTAAGTTGTCCCAACACAGAGCCTGGTACATAGTAAGCACTTTATAAATGGCCATTGACTTGTTGACTTAACTCATCCAGCCTTTGCTTGAGCACTTTCACCACTTTCAGTGATGAGTAACTCACCACTACTATGATGCCATAGGCGAGAGATTTTTATTTAGCTGAACAGTTCTTTCTTTCTGGAAAAAAACCAAAAACTTGCATAATTGTTTCACAATAGAGTTGGGGGGGAAGGGGGGACAGAAAGAGAAGGCTATGGATCGAGCATTGCTTCATTACTACCCATGACCCTCGAGGCACTGCCCAATACAACTTGCCTGAGGTGTGATTCCACACCAGAAATTAGAGTAGAGGCTTCGAGATTCCAACATCGGGGCCACAATCGTCTTGTTTTCAGCGATCATCAGATTGAGGGCTTGTGGATTAGTCAAGAAATTGTCAACATCTATAAACTTAGAAGAGAAAGGAAAAAAAATAAGTGAGACATTTTTCAATGTCAGAGAAAAGAATATGGATATAACACTCAGAAAATTATTCCTCATATACAAAGCTAGTTATTTTGGGCTTCCCTCTCCAGAAAATAAGGTTACTGAGAAATTTTGTCTGAATACAAGACTCACAGACTCAATTTCATGTAACTAACATTTTTATCCCTGGTCTCATTTGAAGGCTGGTTCCTACCTCTATATCCCCCAAGACAGATTTTTGCCAGACTTCAGGCAAAGTCAAGTCATAAAGTTCACTACCCAGGTTGGTTCGGAATCAGTCATTGATAACACTTTATTATTATGGACAACATCTGAGTTTAAAGAATAGCATCATATCTAATATTACTCAGTGAGGTAATTATTAGGTTAAAGATTGTTTTCCTGATATAGATACAATAAAATTTGCTATGCTAAAGAAAATCTAGGCAACAGATGTTTTCAGAAGCTTCTGGACATTTTCAAGTCAATCTATTTACCAAAAATACCAGTCAATCAATAAATATTTATTAAATAATAATGTGCCAGGCACTGTTCTATGCATTTTTCATATGATATTTATGAGAGGCAGCGTGGTGTAGTAACCAGAAAGCAATTAGAACAACCTAGGTTTAGTTCCGGCTCCTATTACATACTACCTGTGCGACCTTAACTTTTCAGTGTCCCAAGCAACTCTTGAAAATTGTAAGTTGCTATACAGTGGACCGAGCTGCATTGGTTGAGAAAGCTTCCTCAACAGGTGTTTACAGATATCAGATTAAATAACAGGGCCAGTAAAAAAAAAAAGTCTTTAAAATTATATGGCTATATTAAGATATCTATAAAATATTAAATATACTTTTTTGAATTTTTATTTTCTTTTTCAATTAATAAGCATTTATTTCCTCTGGCTCCTACTTCCTTTCCCCTCAAACTGAAAAGAGAAGAAAAGTAAAACCTTATAATTGATATCTAAAGTCAAGTAAAAGAAATTCCCATATTCGCCATGTCTAAAAATGTGTGCTCTGCATCTTGGTTCCATCACCTCTCTATCAAGAGGTGGATGATACGCTTCATTGTTAGAATCATAGTTGGTTACTGCATTGTCCAGACTTCATCAGTCATTCAAAGTTATTTGTCTTTACAATGTTGTTCTCCTGGATCTGCTCACTTCACATACATCATCTTCCTAGATTTCTCTAAAACCATCCCTTTTGTCATTTTTAAACCAGACAATAATATTCCATTACATTCACAATCTATAATTTGTTCATCCATTCCCTAATTGATAGATGCTCCCTTAGTTTCCAGTTCTTTGACATTTCTCAAAGAGCTGCTACAAATATTTTTCCACATAAAGATTTTTTCTCTCTTTCTTTAACCTCTTTGGGGAAGGGTATGTAATTTGTGCCATAGCTCCAAATTGCTTTCCAGAATGGTTGTACCAATTCATAGGATACCTGTTTTCTCACAGCCCTGCCAACATTTGTCATTTTCCTTTTTTTTTTTTTTTGGTCATCTTTGCTAGTCTGATAGGTGTGAGGTGAAACCTTAGAGTTGCTTTAATTTGCATTTCTTTATTAATGATTCAGGTCATTTTTACATGTTTGTTTATAATTTGGATTTCTTCTTTTGAAAGCTGCCTGCTCTTACCCTTTCACCATGTATCAATTACAAAATGATTCATTCTTATAAATTTGGGTCAGTTTTGTTTATCTTGGAAATGAGACTTTTATCAGAGAAATTTGCTGCAAAGATTTTTTTTGCCAATTAGCTTCTAGATATTCTTAATAAAATGTGATGTTTTTTACAAGATATGCTAGTGACTTGCATAGTAGAGAGATAATGTAAAATACTAGATTCTTTTCTTGGAGAGTGGAGTAAAGTGTGCATACAGAGGGAAATAAGAGTTTATGGCTGTAATGGAACACCTTGTACTAGAGTCTTGTGGCTACCAGGATCAAACAACCAACACACCTTATCATTTTTGTCCCCTTCCTAAGCACTCCCGCCAAACAACAACAAAAAAAATTTCTCCTGGATCTCCAGACCACATAACAAAAATAAAAGCCTATGGAAAGCAGCCCTTTTTAGTTTTCACAGGGATAATCAGAGAATTCTCTTGCTTGATTCATGGGAGTAGCACAGATGTGCATACAACAGTTCTACTCTTAGACAGCATCAGTTGCATTGAAACCAAGTACACTCTTGAGAGGACAAAGATGATAAGATGATGCCTACATAACCAAACCGGCACTTTTCTGAGTTATTCTAAAAGACTCAAAAAATGTTGGAACCAATTCAGAGGCAATAATTTCCCCCTTAGAACTGAGCATAATAAGTAGAAGACATTGTGGAAATAAAGCGAAAGAGACTCCATTCTCTCCCTAAACATTTGGAGTATGTGTATTCTCTGGGACAAAGGCTAAGATGGAACAGAATTTCACATTTTAACTGTAGCAATGAAGTTTTGGCTTCCATAAGAATCATTCTGTCTTGTATGAATTAGAGGAATCTTTCTTCTGAAGAGCTCAGAACTCTTCAGGCATTTTGCCTTATTCAAAGCTTCCCATGAGGACACAGATTCTTTAATGCCATTTCTCACACTGTAAGATGGCATAGCAGAGTTGTGCAAAAGACCACTTTTCTCACCAGTTGAAACAGAGAGAGTTATTAGTGAGGCTAGGACAAAAATTGGGAATCCTGATAACTATTCCTATGCTATGCTCTCTTTACTATCTCTCTTTGGTTTTTTAAAAAAGAAAGCATCCAAAATGTCAGAAAGAGAATACAAAAGAAAGCAAAACTCTTCACAATCCCCTTGAAAATAATAATAATCAATAAAAAGAAATCACATGTCTAGAAAAATCAAAAAAGGCAATGAGCAAACCAAATGATTGTAAAAGCAACAATAAAAAGAAATCACATTTTAAGAAAAATTAAAAGGCAATGAGAAAACCAAAGAAATAATTTTAAAAATAGAAATTTAAGAGAAGCAAGGACAAATTCCTGGAGAAAGGCCAAAGGAAGAAACATTAAAAACAATGCAAGGAAATCCCAAAAGGTGAATTCTCTCAAAGAAGAAAATCTTTCAAGGAAGCTTCAAACACATTAAAAATTACGTCCTGGAAGAAATTAAAGGAATACATAATTTTAACTAATAAATCTCAGATACAACTAAAGGACTATCTGAACACAACAAAGAAAAATGTGCAATTAAAGACCTGAATTCAGTTTTAAAGGTCTCCAGTGGAGATATTTAAAAGGAGTTATTCAAGAAAATTCCTAGCACTCTCAAGAATAAGTGTATTCTACATATGGGAAGAATCCAAAGAATTATAACAAGAATAAATTTAAAATTCAAATTCAACCCAGCAGATTATCTTCAAATTTCAAAACCACAGTAGTAACGTAAGTCATCTTTCAAGCCACCTTGAAAAAAAAAAAGAAACCACAAATGAAAGCACCAAAATAAAAAAGCCAAAAGAAGCTGAAATAAAGTTTGCGCCAACTAACCAATAAATCAACAAGCATATATTAAGTTCCTACTATGTGCCAAGCACTGCATTAAGACTCTGGAGATGCAGAGAAAAAAAAATCAAATTAGCCTTGCTCTCAAGAACCTTACATTCTAGTGGAAGAGACATCATGTATTAAGTATATTCAAAATGTATATGCAGAATGAACACAAAATAAATACAAAGGGTTTAAATATATGATGGGAAGAATGATATGAGCAGTTGGGGGGGGGAAACATGAAAAGCAACATGAGGAGGGTGTACTTATAGCTCATTGTGAAGGATGAATGCTAGGGATTTTGTGAGGCAGAAGTGAAGAGGGAAAGAATCCCAAGCATGCTAACACATATGAGTTTAGAAAACATGAGCTTCAGTTTCAGAATCAGTTTTTAAGCATTCTGATTGATGGAAAGAGAATGACATTTAAAATTCAAAACAATTCCAAAGAATTAATGGAGAAAAGGACTTGAGTGTAAATATCTTTCCAAACTAGACTATGATTAAAATTGTAATGTAAGAGATACAAATCTCCAAAGATTTAAGTCATAAAATCAAAAAGGTTTTCAGATTCATAAAGAAAATGGTGGTGAAAAGACAGAGTCTGTTGAATCTACAAGAGAATACCTGTCTTTCATCAACTACGGGATCAAGTGTTAGGGAAATTTGCACATGCAATCACACAAAATATAGTAATTGTGTCTAGTTTTGTTAAATTAAGTTTAGTTACCAAAATAGTACAGCAAAATAAGAAAGTTTAACTTGCCTTCCAACAATATAAAACAATTGCAAAAAAAGGTAAGTCAATAACAAATTTAACATTAAATGTAAATGGACTGCATCTCCTTGTAAAGAGAAAAATATCATAAAATGTCCTTGAAACTAGAATGAATCATTGTGTTGTCTAATGGAAATATATTTAATACAAAATATTTATGTGGATATCAATTTAAAGGTTGGTCAAAAAGATATCAAACAATAGACAATCTAAGTAAAGCTGGGGCTACAGTGAGTGGGATTATAAATTTGAATACAAAGTAGAGTTTATTAAGATAAATTAAGATAAATAAGATAAAAATGAAAATGCATGTGAATAAAAGTATATAGTGGCCAAGTTAATAAAATAAAATCTTAGAGTTTTATAAGAAAGAAATATACAACTAATTATGACAAAGTTCACACTGTATTTATTATCAGAATATGATAAATGAGTTACTTATTTGAACAGAATAATGAATAGGCTGACTCTTACAGAGAGATGGAGAGAATATTATGGAAAAAGTAATGATGATGATGATAACAACTCACATTCATGAAACATCAATCTGACCTGATCCTCTTATCAACCTTATGAGATATGTATTATTATGTAAATACTTATAAACAATGACAGAACATTTAAAATACAATAATATAACCCTTTGTGTTTTTGCATAGGTGGTTCCCATATCTAGAATCCAATCCCTCCTCACT